CGTTTGTTGAAGACAGTGCAGTACACGCATATCGGGAACAGGTGTCGGTAGAGGGCAGGTTGGGTGGAGGGGAGGGAAGGGGGATGGGGGGAGCATAAGTATGTCTACCCTCTTTCCCCCTTCACTGCAAACGCCGGACGAGGGCCCTGTCCGCCTCTAAACATTGATGAGGTTCCTGCTGTCTGTCATTTGCTTAACACATGACTCAATGTTCAAGTGTGGTGTCCCTTATCCAAACTTTAGCAACCAGGCATGGAGCGCGTGTCCCTTCAAACCCGAAGAAGTGAAGCTAAATTTTAGAAATGTTTCAACTTGTATGCACATACGAATATAAAGGGAGGTAAGCGATGTGATAGAAATTTGACGTGCATTCCCACAACGGTGCTAACTCCATGCTGCAATTTTGAAGGGACATCCCTGCAAATCGCTCCATGCGGGATAACTGTGTTGTAAGCCTTCAAAATATTTATTTCACACCGTTTGAAAACCGATAATCAGCCCCCAACTTAAAGTATTACCTAACCGTAGCCGAATTCCATACTCTCCCCGAGAGGAGACACAGGGCATAGTGTATAGTGGTAGGGTTTCCCATTGACCGCTAACTTGGATGCAGTCTACGTGGTGGATCGCAGCTACGCTGTATAAAACATTATCAAGTCATATCAACCCTTCTATCCAAGGTGACTTAAAGTAAATGGTTATTTATCGTATGTAATATATTGTCCTTTGCCACTCTACCTTGCGCTTTTTATTGACACAACGTTGAAGAAAGGAAATAAATGTTTGTTTATCGAATGACCTTGGGTTTTTAACATAACAAAACGTCACAAAATACAGGATGACTCAATCATTAGTTCTCCTCGTATGAGTGGTATACTTATTGTGCCAGACGGTATTGAACAACGCAGTACCCATTGGTAAACAGTGAGGGGTCATAGAGTTTGGCATGTTTTGCTTTTTAGAACCTTGTGGGAAGGCTTTTTTTCTCGGTCCCAGGGGTAATTTTGAAAACCTTATAGCCTTAGCAGACAATTATCAGAAAATCGTGTTTCTTAAAATACTGACAATTGTGGCAACGATTCGGTGGAATAAATTGAATAAATAATAGCCTTTTAGAATATAATTTAAGTGCAATGATAAATACAAATGATGATGATGATGATGATGATGATGATGATGATTGTGGCCTGGTGGGGTGAACATAATGATTATTATGGTGTTGGTGTTGATGATGATGATGATGTTGATGGTGGTGTTGATGATGATAAGGATGATGATGATGATAATGATGATGTAGATGATGTTTGTAACGTCACACACACGTATGCTCCAAGCACATTATATATTATATACCTCAAGGCAACGGATGTGTACGGGTGATATTTCATTATCAACTCCTCTGTGAGTAAACAGTATCATAAATATTCTTCCTCTCGCAAAGATGTCCCACTGCGACCATGATAACATATCTACCTTCGGTTATATTAGCTGTAGCCACCTTAGTTCAAATATATATATATAATACGACGGAGATGACGTTGAGTGTAGCTGCTAAGTACACGGTAACCCAACTGTTTAACATGCCTAGATACCAGGATCGTCCCACGTCTCTTTGTAGACTCAGCACTTACTGCTCCTGGTGATGTGGCTACATAGGTCATCAGACAAGCTTCTGCATCACTGACCCGAAGTGCCCCTGTCTCTCAACTATACATTAACCTCATCGTGCTCTGGAGATGCTGGTATTTTAAAGTGAAGGGAGTCCACGTGGTTTTCAAACCTAATGGGACACGCCTGGCCGGTGGTCTAACCGCTTCAACCCAAGATGTAGAGTTGATCATAAGTTCGAATCCAATTAGGATCCCTGGTTTGTCAGTACCATACCCTGCTCGCGGTCTTTACCGAAGTGGAAAACGTCCATACGTTCATCAATGTTGGCACAGTGGTGTTCCACAAGGGAGCTTCTGACTCCGTATGTTTCTATACAAAGTGTGGACGAAACCGCTTCAGAAACTGAATCACTCCATATAATGCTGCGACTTAACTGAAATAAGGCTATTTGAGTATTTAGTTGACAGAAATAGCCCATTTAGTCCAAAGTTCAATTTGTACACGCTTAATGAGGAAAAGTACTTCAAATTGATCTTCAAAGGGCAACTCTCGTGGTTGTGAGAAATACTTGTATAAACGTAAAGCGTGGTTCTGTCAATAAAACAGCGCCATGTGTTTCCATTTATATTCTGAAGTCGTCCCAAAGGTTTGTGTAATTATTAACTGTAACATAACACCGCCGAATGTCTCACCTTTGTCAATCTATTCATAGCCGTGGAATCATCATGTTTTTAAGGAGGGGGTTCAAATTTAGACATATTCAATTAAAAATCAAATCTTTAGTGTGTGTTTGTGAAAGGTTTGAACGTACGTGTCCATTTCATTAACACAATGGTATTATTAATTTGTCGTTGACTTTTGGTCCCCAAATTGAAATGTCATGAGAAGTGGTGGTGGGGGGGGGGGGGGGGGGGAATGTCTTACCACATGCTCCCCAACACCCGCATCTGGATCCACCACTGGAGTATAACAAACATAGATGTGACGTCCTGATATATGTCTGTCTTATCTTGACTTTACTTTCAAAGAAGCCTTTGCAAGTCTAGCCGAAGACTCGTGACTTTTTGTCCCTTTGTTTGTGAAAGCATTTAGCGAGGCAGCGCCACACATTACTTGACCTTAGGTCAAGAGTGGGGAGGAGAGTGGGGCATGTCCACACTATGTTCATGAAGTCACTGGGGACAGTTTCGCTGTGTGTGTGTTCTGTAACATAGCACAATCCCTCTCATTTACATAGAGAGAGGCCTAACATACCGCATTCTGATGTTCTGTTACTGTGGCGCATATTAGGAGATACCTCGCATATTTCCATTAAGATCAGGACACACCGATCGGTATATCAACAACAGTTGAACTTTCACACACTACAACAGTGTAGATATTAACTCGAAAGGAGTGGCCAGCTATATATGGTTCTATATTGGTGAATGTGCTGAATAACGCTACTGCAAAAACTTATTACCTCTAGTTGTATTACAATGAATTCATAACGAACGTATTTTACACGACATATTTATTCACATGAAGAACCAAAAAAACGTTTGGAAACATATTAACATATGTTAACATTCATGAGAATTATAAGTTGTCCTAAATACGCAAACATTTGAGGAAATGGATGGTTAAACTGATCTTTGGTACCACATTTCTTACCCTTGGCCCTCCACACGCTGTTGTGTCAGGTCGTCTATGATCTGCGTCGCTTTCATCACATAGCCTTATATCACATTGTTAACACACTGGTGGTATATAGCCTTTTATCTCATCAACCCAACAGTGGAGTCCCACAAGGGAGCTTCTGACTCTGTATGTTTCTATACAAAGTGTGGAAAAAATCTTTTTGGTGATAGAATCAATCCGATATGAAGCTGACTCTACGTGATATCAGTGGCACAGTTGTGTCAAGCCCCAAAAATAGCTTCACGAGTTGGATCCCCTAGCTAGGCCAGGATCTGTGGTTCGTGTGTTCGAATCTCAGATTTCTGAATCCCTGTACTCACTCACTCACTCACTCACTCACTCACTCACTCACTCACTCACAACACACATAGTCATGCAGTAACCATGATGTTAACATCTCTAGTGGTTTTAGAAAGTGGTCCCTATTCAAAGCCACACACGCCACGAAGATGACAGGACGTCACTTCGTCACGGATTTCCATTCACAGTCGACCTAATCTGAACTCAGCTTTAACAAAACATACATTCGAGGGAGTGTCTGTAACATCATTCAGAAGAAGGGTGCTCACCAAGGAAGTTAAGACCCCACCCTTCTAACCACTCCCCTAGCCCTATCACCCTTCCTATCTCCCCCCATCGCCACGGTACCCTCCATATTGTGTACGTTGTTGTGTCTACATTGATAGACAGGAGATAGATCGTACGATGTTGCAAATAGTATGATGTCATACAAAAGTGTAACCTTTAAGAACTTTGGCCCCATCAACTCTGTTATGTCTGTAAGTACTGTATGACGAAATGCTGTTAAAACTATTAGTATTCACAAGCGTCTGTGGCGCGTCATAGTAGCTCAGTGGTTAAACCGTTCTTCAATGTTCGAATCCAATAACTGCCCATATTTTAAGGAAACCTTTGAATAATTAACCTTTTCAAACCTGTTTTTGTCTTAAGCAAGATCTCTGTATATTTTGTAGTGTCGAATCTACTGTTATTACTTAAATTTACTGTTGTTATTTCCACTAAAAGGGGTTAACGTGTTTTATCAACACGATGGAGTTGATCCACAATTAGATGTGTAGTATTAATAAATACAGTATGCCTTTCCAATGCTTAGATACATGTATAGATGTAATATTCAGTATCACCATGCCCACCTGGCGGCACGTCGTGTTATTGATAAAGACATGAATATTGCACGTTAGAAATATAAGGGGCCAAAACCATTTCCATAATCATAATAAATCTCTGCTAAAAGCAGATTCGTTTGTAGGAATCCGACTGTATCATGAACATATGTTAATGAATCCTTGTCAAATAGGGATGATACCAGGTGTTCGCGTATCCTGCCCCACATACAACGTGGCAGCCGTCATATATAACCCAGTAAAAGAAATGAATTCATACGAAATACATGCTAGTATTTATACCCGTGTATCTTTAGAAGTGGGCTGCACTTGTAGTAACTAAATATGACCAGTGACGTAGCTGTATTGAATGGGACGGATACTACTATTGCCAATACCCGTGTTCAATGACTGGGTATTTATATCAGCAATGACTGGGTACTTATATCAACACACCTTACGTACGGTGTAGCCCAACCCATGCGGCCGTAGTTCATTCATGATACGATTGCGTTCTTATCCAAACATACGGAATGTAAGTATTTCACGAGGCCAACATTCATCAACAACACGCTGAGTGACAACATGACACTTACTCTGATACAGCGCCACGGCGACATTTTCTAGAAAGCAAACAACGCCCTTTCGCAATTAAAACTGAACATAACTTTGAGCCGGAATATATGATGACGATCATTGTCGTTGTGACAGCCACGGGGAGTTGCTCTACAGGTTACAGTAACGAGGCTCGTAGCCAGAGGCAGTGGGAAAACAATAGGTTGTCCAAGTGTGTGTAAGCGTATTATATGAGGCCCCGACGGCCTGTATGTTAATCTCGGCTCCACGTTGTTTCGCTTTGACTCTCTGTTGATATTGACCACAATGGCGCGCTGAGCAAACGTGCGCTGGAATGAATTTTTTTATTTCTACAAAATCAAGAATTTGTCCGAGAACTTGGCATTGACTGTTGGATGCAGCTCGGACGCGGGTTGTGATTCTGTCACTGAAGCAATATCCTTCACACTTTGTATAGAAACATACGGAGTCAGAAGCAACCTTGCAGGACTCCAGTGTGGAGTTGAGATAAAAGGCTATGTGTTGATGTGACAACTTCATAGTGTATCACAGATTGCCATTGTCATATCTCTCTCGGCTGCAACGAATAACACAGCAAGATGAAACTGAAACGAAGCAAAGGTATGTTTCAAATATTTGATCAAAATTTGTATTTTCTATTTTAAAATATTTGATCAAATTTATACTTATTTTTAAATTTTGATTTTGATGAGCAACCAAATTAATCTGTTTTAATACGTTAGAAGTTTGATTCCGGTCTATTTGTAAAATGTATCAGAGGATTTATTAATTCGTTCCTATTCTCACATTAGTGTCAGGATTGTTTTTAATCCTGTTCGGTTATTATGTGGTTGATAATTTACCTATGATTTATCTCTTTTGACATTCCAATTTACACAATTTGTATGAAAATTAACATCGTGACATCCAAAACATATTAAAACTATATTTGTCAAGTTAGAGGAGACTATGCCAGTCGTGTGTCCATTTACTCTAGGTCGAGATGTTTTAAAAAGTGACATGTGCAGAACTGAAGCATTGTTAGGGAAATTATTATTTACTATTAAATTCATAGACATAACATTAGAGGTAGACAAGTAAAGTGGGTTTTGTATAGCGTTATTAAACATGAACGTCAACGCCAGAAAATAGTATCTCTATTATGACGTCAGATACATCCCAACCATGTTGATGTATTTCACAACCAAATGAGAGTCAATGAACATGTAACATAGCAACAACGTTGGTTAAAGGTGACAAATATGCATCCGGCCGACCGAAGTCAGTTCACGTATAGGGTAAAGTACAGCTTGCATGCCAATAGGCATTGTTGTATTCATACATATATGTTTCTCAAGCTTCATTTAACTACTAAACATTAACGGTGGCTTCGGGCACTTTATAACCGAGGTGTTGCCAGAGGGCTATGGAGGTATGTTAAATCTGGTGTATATCTACGTTCAGATAAACTGATATCATGTTTGACTTCAGTACAGAATATGTCCTCTCCCAAAGACATTGTATTGCCGGAGGGAGATAGTGTAAAGTGTTCAGATGTATTAAATACATGGTAAATACTTCAACTACCGTAACTCTGCAGCAACGTAACAATGTAGCTATATAATACTGTAACAATGAGGCATTGTAACAATGTAGCAATATAATACTGTAGCTAGAAGCAACGTAACAATGTAGCAATATAATACTGTAGCTAGAAGCAACGTAACAATGTAGCAATATAATACTGCAGCAATGGTGCAACGTAACAATGTAGCAATATAATAATGTAGCAATGAAGCAATGTAACAATGTAGCAACATAATACTGTAGCAATGAAGCAACGTAACAATGTAGCAATATAATAATGTAGCAATGAAGCTATGTAACAATGTAGCAATATAACAATGTAGCAATGAAGCAATGTTATTCTGTAGCAGTAGGCAACGTAACGATGTTACAATGTAGATGTGTGGAACCCTGTAATAATGCAATACTGTAGCATTGTAGAATGTGATACTGTAACAACTGAATATTGCAATATGACAATTCAGAATTTCCATCAGTAACCGTGTTTAAGACTTAAGTCAACTCAGAGTGTAAACACGTGTTTCCTTACCTCCACCATGATTGATTGAGCACTGTGTAACATCGTGTATACATACACTCATCGATAGTAACCTTATTATTCATATACGTTGTGGTTAATCCTATTTAGGTAGAACAAGTCTAATACTGGAATTGATGCCTTGTGTGGCGGCCTCATGCTGTATGTAATGTCCGCAAAGCTGACGCAGGACATACAGCCATATTAGTACTAAAATCGTCTCTACTAAAGCGATAGATATTTGACCCATTCACTGTATCAAGTGTACCCATACTATTTAAATCTGTAAACGAAATGCAACAACCTTCCATATATACTGCTCAAAAGAAGTTAAAGAACACCCGATTCATTCACATTACTATAGTTAATCTGTCATGGTATGACACCTTAACCATACCATGAAATAATCGGGTGTTCTTTAACTTCATTTGAGGAGTATATACTGATGGAAAGAAATAAAGCAACGGCTATAAATAAATGTTGTATTGGTTTGCTTGTGAAGACCCAATATGAATAGAGGTGTTTGGTCAGTCCAGCGAATGACCCAAATGCTAATTTATATAATATTCCGTCAGTGTCATATTTTGTCGCTGGATGCTGTCATTTATCGTACAATCAACTCTTCTTTTATTTCTTATGATTATGGTAAGGGTTTTATTGGTTTTTTTCACGTATTATACATATTATTGTTATTATTGTTATTCGATAATATTGCTATACGTTTTGTTATTTGTTTATATCAGTATATATACAGTCTATCAATTTCCTACAAACTCTTATGGAGGCAATGTTATCAACATGTCTCGTCAACATAAACATTATTCGTAGTTAATGCAAAGTAATAGTATAAGCTGTGCTAGCACTGCCCTGACCATATGTTTTCATGGAATATTGCAACGGGGGTCTCGTGTAGCGTTGATAATCCGTTAATATATCTCAGGTAGGAGGTAGTCCCACGACCATCACAACACGTGAATGTATTGTGTACATGATACCTAACAATCTTGAACATCAAATTCGTATATGTGTGTTCCATATTTAATAAATCCAAATATAAGTCGGTTTGTGGTCTGGAATGTGGCGAGAAATGTAGGTGCGCATAACTCAAGGTGGGTCTCATGACATAGTGTTTACATGATGTTTACCATCAAGCAGAGTGTCTATCGAACCTTTCCATTGTTTGTTGAGCGATTTGTTATGAATTCTGCCGTAATCTGTTGGGGATAATCCGATTTAGCTACTATGCAGTAATCACGTGGATGCGTTGCTAGGTATTGCAACAGACAAGGCATATTCTTCTCTGTTTTGCAATTTACTATCGTTCGTATTAATATTTGTTTAAGTTTAGATTTTTCTGTTGCGTGGCACAATGAACTTGCTCTATGGGTAAATGGTCTCGAATCTTAGCAACCGTGGTCGAATGAGCCTGAAGTGTTGAAAGTTGGGAGGTGGTCCAGTTTATGTCAACATGTCTGCTTTGAATACATAGTGCACGCGATATGATAAGCAATTAAATATAAAAAAAACTATTTCGGAGGGCGGGTCTCCATATAAACATTGAACTTTCTTCTGTGAAGGCAGGGAGTCTAAATAAGATCGACTCCCCACAATAAGTGAAGGAACACCCGATTCTTTTCATGTGGGGGCGGTCGGGTAGCATAGTGGTTAAAGCGTTCGCTCGTCACGCCGAAGACCCGGGTTCGATTCCCAACATGGGTACAATGTGTGAAGCCCATTTCTGGTGTCCCCCGCCGTGATATTGCTGGAAAATAGCTAGAAGCGGGCGTAAAACAATTCTCACTCACTCACTCACTTTTCATGTGACTCGTTAATTTGTCATGTTGTGACAGATTTACTATAGTCATGTGAAAAAATCAGGTGTTCTTTAACTTCTTTTGAGTTAATCAGTTATGACATGACAGATAGCTGTAGTTGTATGAAAACAATTGGGTGTATCACCATCATCGTCGTCATCGTCGTCATCGCCGCTGTCGTTTCGTTGTCATCAATACCTACAAAGTCATCGTCGTTGTCAAATTCACCGGCATTGTTTTATCATCATAATTGTTCTTATAGAAACTTAATTTTAAATTTTTAACTCAATCATAAGTTTACTCCCCCATTATCATCATTGATATTATTATCAACATGATCATTGTTCTACATTTATGATTATAGTTATCTTTTTTAGTATTGTTACGTTATAACCGTAGTTTACCTGACAGATGCAGTAAGGGATACAGTAAACTACGGTTATAACGAACTCGAAGGGACCACAAATTTTAGTTCCTTATAACCGAAGTTCGTTATAAGCATACATACAGTATTTATACAACAAATGGTCGGGACTAAAAAATAAGTTCGTTATATCGGTCAGTTCGTTATAAGCGTGTTCGTTATAAACGTAGTTTACTGTAGTTTGATACTGATGCTAATACAAAATGCATTTAGGAATGTACAGGATGCTTGAGTTGAATTGTATTGCTAAATAACGCCCACGCGCTGTGAATAACAATAGCCGCACCTGTCATGCATAAGTCGTCGATTCCAGGAAATAGGTTTTATCAAGGTTATTGAAATTCAGAGAATAACTGCTTACTGAAGAACGCTCCCGTGACACGCAAGTAAACCTGAATATGTGTTACGTATTTAGCATGACGGGCATTTATTGCTGTGTTTGATAATATTCTCCTGTGACAGTCGTTACCCTCCCGGCAATATATATCGCGTGATGAATATCATATTGCAATATCTCAGCGCTATGTGGACAGACTAGTTGGCAGAAACCGATTGTTATCGTCGCTTGTGGCCTCAACCTGGTTGTATAATGCAGAGTCGGGGCCTACAGTCATAAACAACGTCTCGTCCACGTGGATATGTGTCAAGGCGTATTCCAAGAAATGACTGCTAGCTTCAACATGCTGCGACTATTTTATTGATAGAAATGGATCGATGTCATGAAATAAACTTGTTCAGACATTTCATAACTTGGATCTCATGAAGCATTTGGGAATTTTGTTGTCAATGTCTCGGTTGGATAATTTTCGTTGGTTAAAATGAGTCGATGCTAGGAAGGAATTTATCACAGACTCTATATGGTAAACTACGTTTATAACGAACACGGTTATAACGAACTGTCGGGACTACAACAAATGGTCGGGACTAAAAAATAAGTTCGTCATATCGGTCACTTCGTTATAAGCGTGTTCGTTATAAACGTAGTTTACTGTAGTTTCAAATGCAGACTTGAACAATTGTTTGACAATTCCGCTTCTTTCTTAACTCAGGTGTACAATGTGTGTGTTGTCTGCGTGCTCTTGTGCATTTCTGATAGGTAACTATACATACCAGTAATTATACAAACATATCCACTTGAACATGATGTTATACACTATTACACTATCTGATCATATCTTCTTGATCATGTCGTAATGTTTGGAAATCCTGCCACTCCTGTCATTCCATGTCCTCATTGTCATCAGTTGGGGCGTGACAGTGATATTGACATGACAGGTGATGTTGAGGGATATTAACATGACAGCTGACTGATAGAGTCACGTGACCGCCTCTCACGTGTAGAGACGCGAGGCCTTCGTCACAGGCACGTGACAACTGGAATTGATGCAGACTAGCAATTGTTGCCATCAACACTACCTATAGACTAACATTTAGTCTCTGAAATCTTATATTACACAAGATCCTTCTTGACTCTAAAAAAATAAAAATTCCCTATGCTGATTTCAGAATAGAGCTAGCTTGAGCTGGCTAGACTTGCTTTTGTATGCATTTCTAGATCATGTTTTTTTCATAAAATAAATATATTCCACGGTCATGGTGCAGGACTACACTACCTACAGTGTCGACCATACTTATCTTGTCCACGATAGTCATAATCATGATAATATTTATACAACGTTAACACTGATATTGCCTACATTGTTAAGTAATTAATTAGTCAACATTGGTAACACTGATATTGTCAATGACGTTCACAGTCATATTGTCATATCTACTTTATTAAGTGACATACTGTAAATCATATTTTTGGAAAGCCTGCGATTGACAACAAATATGATACAAAATATACATGAATGACCTTTGAAAAATGTTCTGTCCTTGAGCCGGTTGTTTTGGTCCTAAATTCAAAATCTTTGTTTTACTGTTTGAAATCTCAACACCAACGATGCGAGTACATCGAGCTCTAGTATAACGCAATAGTTTTAAACCCAGCTTGGTGCACTCTACAGGGAGCGGTGGGTTAGCCAAGTGGTTAAAGAGTTGACTCACATGACCGATGACGGGGTTCGAATCCCCACAGTTTGTAAAGGCCATTCTTAGACCCCGCTATGTTATCACTGGAATATTGCTACAAGCGGCTTAGACAAAACTCGTTAATTCACTCACTGTACGAAGAGTGTTCAGCCGAACCTGCTTGCCAGCCATGTTTACTTGCTACTTCTTCAAAACCCGAACGTTTAATAACCTAAATGTACAAGAATCCGTATGACTGCAATTTCCCCTAATGTTTTTAGCATTTTCGACATCAGCGTCGAATGTTCGACACTACTTTCTCATTTTCATGCTAATTTCTACGAGACGCTCTCCATGGACAATATGGTTGCATAACCACGTGGCCATTTGAATAGTTGTCAATATCATGTCAATTTCACGCAATCCCATCAGTCAGCTGATTTCCCATGATGCACCGCCATAAACTATAGCCGTGCATGTCTGTACATAACAGTCCCGCGTGTAGAGAGCAAGCCAATCTGTATAGTGATAACATCTCAATGGCAATAATCTAAATGGCATCCTAACTTTAAAATAAAGTTGTTTTTAAACACATTTTTCACATTTAATTCGAGGCAATTATGACCAACGTTTGAAATGAACGTATCCAAATTTGCATTTATTACGTAGGTTATGAAATTATACAGCATTCAAGTGACTATGAACATATATGCCAGACGTGTGTGAATACGGCCATCGTTTTTATTTATTTACTGGGTAGCCCAGTGGTTAAAGCGTTCGCTCGTCACGCCGAAGACCCGGGTTCGATTCCCCACATGGGTACAATGTGTGAAGCCCATTTCTGGTGTCCCCCCGCCGTGATATTGCTGGAATATTACTAATAGCGGCGTAAAACCATACTCACTAACTCATGTATTTCTGACGTGTCATAGGTGACACATATTTCATCACCCTTGACAGCGTGAATGACCAGGTTTAGATTTATCCTATGATTCATACGCTCCTAATATTCGGTCATAGGTAAATGGAAGATTACCAAATTGGCAGGAATTAGCATTGGTTAGACAATTTAACTGGATTAAAACCTGGCCTTTATATAATTGTCACTATCTGTGTTTCTATTTTGGAAGATGTTCCCATCAATTTTCTTAAATAGTTTAAATGTAATTTATGTCACAGTGTTCTCATATATTAAACTCTCTTGGCATTGATCAAGCTGTTAAACCCAGTACCCTAACTTAACGACCGCTAAAGACCAAGCTTACTTTTGCGCTATGAAAATATTATTTGAGTCAAACCGTCTTGGCGCTAAATAAACAGATAGGAGAGAATTAATTTGAACTTAAATATACCGCACATGCTGATTTAATTCGAAAGCCACTGGTGCACGTAGGATTTAATAAGATAGAGATTATGTAAATGCTTGTCCTGTCATGTTGTGAATGTGTTGTTTGTGATGTCAATGTGTTGGTAAACAACAAACAATAGCAATCAGTTTGTTGCCTGACAAAATCTCAAAAAATGGTAGTACAAATATGGGAGCTGAGTGTTGTTGAGACGTCCTCGGTGGCAGACTGGTCAACACACACCAAGACGCCGTCGTCAACAGAACAATCGTGTTTATCTCACAAAATATTAACAGGGACTGTATCAAAATATTTCAAGTATTTTCGTGTGAAGGCAGGTGAATGAACAATTGTTTTCACCAAAGAAATCGGTTTATTGTTGAAATGTATTCGGGATATTTCTTTTGAACATTTTGATTAAGAAATTGTTTTAAAACGTTAATGGTCTTGAAATAAGGTTTGGTGCAATTTTGAAAAATAAGAACTGTTGACGCTTTCCCTCAGTGACCTGTCAATCATATTGCTCAGCTGACACCAGTGAGATATATTATATCGCTCATCCATCACCTTCAAGTCTTTGTGATGGATAATAAAGGCGACATGTTATTGCTATCGATATTCTTTTGCGTCGTCTGTTTTTTCCCGACTTTCACTACATTAGGAGAATCGCAAAGAATATTATTCAAAAATGATTATGATTGAATTACTTCATACAGGAGTACTAAATTTCAACTCTAAGTAAACCCATTAAAGTGGGTTCCCAAACCTATTAAAGTGGAGTTCCACAACCCATCCCATGCATACCCCGCCTCTTCACTGCCTAAAAGAACTCGACAGTAACATTTTGGGTCAATTCCTATGTATTTTCATCATCACCAGTAGGATTGTGAGATTGACTGATGGTTAAAATGTTGGCTCTAAGAAGTTAGATTTTGTAACAACTTTCTTTCTATCGAAAGAGGAAGATGGAAAATATACCACGATTTACTGAAATCTATAATCTTTGTGAAAAAAATCACTTTGGATAAGAAGTCCACTATCTTTTCATGTATCAAGTATTAGAAGCAAATACGCCAATATCTGTGACTCTACCATTACAAAACCACTGTGTGTAACCTATTCAGAACAAATACAATCGGAATATTAAGAATGCTGTCAGTCCTGAGTGAATATTTATCCCCAAACCATTAATATACAGTGTGTTCTTCTACTTAAATCAGCGTCCCCATAAAATCATAATTTATATCCCCGTGTTGTGGGTTTTCGGATGCTACGAAACGGTCGTAGTTGTCTCTCTAATCACATGGACAACTGTAAAACATATCATTTACTAACAAAAGACAACTTTCTCTTAAAAACAAGCCACCACCTGAGTGTTTACGATGTCCGAGTGATGCTACACGTCCGTTATAGCGCGAGAAATCGCGAGAAACATGGCCGTCCGAAAAACGTATAATGTCCAAAAACCTATGATCCGACGATAAATGTGTACACACACATCCATGTCTTGAGTACTATGTATCAATGTGTGACATCCACGTACCGCTGATAGTAGTCTGAGTGTAATAAGGTTCTGTTCTATCAGGCTGAAAACTCATATCGGTTTCCTTCCATAGGCACAATGTCCGTCCTTGGTGCCCCCATCTTGCATGGCTGGCTGGGATATTACTAAATGTGCCGGTTTAGTTCGAAATGTGTATCAATGTTGATTATTTATGATCTGGTGTATGCTTTTGATGAAACATTGTGTACTTCATGATTGTGGCTATGTCTTTCAATGGTAAAGCTAATTCCTAACTCACCAACCTCTCAATGGTTCTCCCCGATTATGTTTCTAGGTTTGTCAGCACCATACCCGTGCCCGTGGGTTTCACCGAAGTGGTGAACGTCCGAGACATGCATCACTTCGGGCTTTCCTCCCACATTAAGCTGACACGCCGTGATATAACTGGAATACTGTTAAAAGCGGCGTCAAACCCAACTCACTCACTCACTCACTCAATGGTTTTAAGCCCATTTCTGGTGTCCCCCGCCGTGATATTGCTGGAATATTGCTAAAAGCGGCGTAGAACCATACCCACTTGGATGTGTGCCGTTGCAGAAAGCGATCTTAGCGCAAAGGTGATCGTAACTGCCATACCTTAACATAGACAGTTGTAGCGCTAAGGTTGTTCTGTACAACGGCACCGAGTAAAGTTGCTGGGGACCGATGTTAACCCCTACCCCCCCCCCCCCCCCCCCACGGGTCGGAGATGGATGTTGGTAACTTAAATAGAATATCCACATCTTCATAAATACTTATATTCCATCCTTTGTTTCAGATCGGCGGAACTCGCTGACGAAGGCGCACCACTTCATCAGCCGTGACCCCTCCGAGTGGGACGTCATGGACGGCTATACCTTCAACGGCGACTACATCGGGTACTCCACCCTCTCCAAGCCGGCCACGGGGGTGGGGATCCTTCAGCAGCCAATCAAAGAGCAGTATCTTAAGGCCCGGAAGCAGGGCAACTCCAAGAAGGTGATGCTGAGACTGATTCAGAGCGGGTTGGCCATCAGCCTTGTTGATACCGGCGGCGGCCAAAAGGGGGAGATGTTCTACGACATCAGCTCAATCAGCTACATCGAGAGTCTGAGGTTTACTGTGCTGAGTGGCAGTGAGAAGAAGGTCCGGGCAATGTTTGTACCTCTGGCTGAAGCGACTCTGCCTTCTGTGAAAGACAAGAACGTATTTACGGTGGACAAAAACTATCATTTCCTGACGCAGATCAACCACCCTGCGCTGTTAGCGTGCGTTCTGAGGAGGCCGAAGGGTGTCAAAGCTCTGGACTGTCATATTTTCATGTTGGAGAACGTTGAAGATGCCTTTAAGATTGTGTCAATAGTGAGGCATATACAGACCCGTGGGTCCAACCCGGATGTGATGACTGAGTTGAAACAGAATGAGAACGGTAGCTTCAAGCGCGGTCAGAACAATGATGTGATACGAACCGAATACGGGGAGTATTCGGTGTATAGAGGACAGAAGCAATATGAACTTAAAGATGATTTCTTCCGCCCCCCTGAGCATGAGGGGGGACCGCAGGGTGAGTACCGACCCCCCGGGCAAGAAGGGGGTCCGCAGGGTGATTACAGGCCCCCAGACAACGAGGACCCAGGGTATGGGTGGTCTTATGAACGTTCAAGAGAAAACAATGATGACAATTGGCACAGCTTTGACAACGACCGGTATGAAAGGAAAGATGAGCGTTTTGCAGGGCAGTTGAGAGTAGGAACTCAAAACAGGGGAGATTTTTCCTACGATCAAGGAGGACGGGAGTACATTAGTCACGGTCGTCAAAGGTCGTCGGATAGCGGCGAGGGGAGGATGAACATGAGTTTTAGCGATTCTTCAGAAAGAGGGGGTCGGCATGATGAGCACACGGAGAGAAGGTCTTGGAACGAGCGGGAGCGTGGGAACATCTCACCCCGGGCGGCCCACTTCCCCCCCAGGGTAGCAGAGAAGCCGAACAAGCCCGACCCCATGATGAGATCAATGGGGCCACCCAGCCCAAACCAACACTCTCCTCCTCGCCCCCTCTCTCCTCGCGGAATGGACTCGCCCCGGTCGACCAACTATCAGCATCCTCCAGCATCAGGCTACAACCAGCCCGCCCAAGGGGGCCGCTACGCCCCTCCCTCGCCCGGTGGACCCGTCTACTCCATGTCCAATCTCGAGAGTAGACAAACCGACGCCCGGCCGCCTGAAGAGGAATCAGCGCCCAAGCCTGTGGCTAAGGTTCCTCCACACATGGTTGCTGGTGTGAAGGTCCTTCCGACCGGTTTCGTTCCCTCCGCAATTAAACTGAAGCCTAAGACAGCCAAACACGATAGAAGCTACGGGTCTGAAGATTCGGATCCTGACTACGACAATAATATCCATATGTATAAAAAGCCTGTCAATGACTATCAGAGCTACCAGTCAGAAAAATACACAGAGGAACGTAACATATATAACCACAATAACAGCAACGATAACCTGGGAAAAGGGGGAGACAACTACGGTAAAGGGGGAGACAACCACGGCCGGTATGCTGACTACAACAAGGGAGGCATGTATGGCGACAGCAGCTACAGTAAAGAGGGCAGCCAGAATCGCGGTTTCAGCTACGCTCCTGAATATGGACGGCAAGTCAGCGACGAGAAAACAGAAAGCCGTCAATATATTGAAAGCTATGATGGCCCCTACGGTGTCCAGAGACGGGAGACGGACCACAGGCAGACGGACAAGGGGGGTTCCAACAGGTATAGCGCCCCATCAACGGCTTACGACGACAGATCACGTGATCCAGGTAACCGTTGGAGCGGGTCAAGTGGTGGAGGTCAAGGTCGATCTCAGTCCAACTACGACATCGGTAGCCGAGCGCCCCCTGGTGGGGATGGCGGACAAGGTCCTAAAGGGAAGGAAGCCGAGATTGCATCAATGTTCACGGACTTCCAAATTCAGAAAGGGGAGCCAACTCCTTACACTACTTCCGGAACAGATTTCGAGCAATCTTTGGGTTACTTCCCTTGACGGAGTCCGTATTTCGGGATTTCGAGACTGTATCATGTGTTGTAGGCGGTGTTGGATGACTATGAATGCACGTGCAAATGCATGCATGTTGCTGCTTGAGAGGACAATGAGTGTAGTAGACAGGAGGATGTCTTAATGGTCGATGTCTGAAGTCGGGTTTTGGAAGTACATTCTTGTGTGGGAGTGTAATGCATAGATAGACCCGGCGTCCGGACACTATATAAACGTGACATTTTGTCACAAGACATACTGCAACCAATGCATACCCTCTGTGACTGTCCTTTCGAAGTAAGAAATGTCACATTTACACTTAAACAGAGTTCATTTCATTTTCTTTATCAAATATATTCAGAAATAGGAACACTAGCACACATGTATATGTACAAGATCGGTTCCTAAAGGTTGAATTTTTGCATTTCATTTGAGCAAAATTAATTTTTTTGGCGTTTGCAGGTTGTATTATTATTACGTGTACCATAGTAGAACAGTTGGTACATAATCTTGGTACAACAGGTGGTACATAAGCTGGGTACAACTGGTGGTTCAGACGCGTTGACGATACTATTAAAACTGTTGATCTCAGAAGATAGCTATTGTAAGCAGTGTCATTTAATGACACTACAGTCGTCTTATAAAGAACATGTATCACGTGGACAACGACACCATCGTCTCAAAATTAAATGTTATATATATATATATTCGCAATAATGTATGCAGTCATATACCTATTACATTATATAGATATGTATAGGGAATTATAACACACATCTCCATACACTGTAATTTTTCGTTTGCTCTGATTAAAGTCAAGTCTTTCTTAAACTTTAAAGTTTAAAGAACCTGCTTGGGCAGTTACAAACTGCCTCAGAATAACGAGAAATTTGTACCTTTTATATCATTTTCACCATATTACTGTGCAATTGCCAACAACTGCGTTTCTGAGGCTTATTCGAGTCACGTTTGCAGTAGTTTTTGTTCTATCGGACGTATAATGGTATACCAAGTTGAAATGGCAACGTGAAGAGAATAGCGGTATGTTTATACGATGTATTACCTACGCAATATTTACATGATATGCAGTGATATCTCAGTAGGTAGCTAGGATCATGCGCATTGTATCCAAATTCACTAACCTTGTGCCTAATATTCAGTTTATGTGTTAAATACTGTGTTTAAGGGTTGGCATTGAACACACGGTACTGCAACCTCTATCTCGATGATATTGTGTTTAAGCGTTGACGCTGAACACACAGAACCACAGCATCTTTCTTTATGATATTGTGTTTCAGGAAACGTTGACACGTTTTCAAACATTAGTATTTATTTATGATCTCTCGCTATTGCAAAAGGCTTCGTTAAGTTGCTTTTAACAGCATGAAAGCAGAAGAGTGGAAACTAACCAGCTGCATCGATTGTCCTGTACTAACTGCGAATGGATGTTTGGATATAGCACGGAATATTGATTACAATGTACATAGCATGTATATAGTGTTTGTTTGAACTATATGTGACTATATATGCAGTGTACAAGCAGCGTCGCGAGTGCCTGAGACCACGTGGTCTTTCATGTCACGTGGACCTGACATTGTATATAACCCTTTGTCATGTAATGGACCCCTATGGTACATTGTTATGAGGACCTTGTGGACCCGCCTCCAACTTACATTGTAATATAGCCATGTGACCTTTAGTGGACCCGCTCCAACTTACGTTGTCATATGTGGCCTATAGTGGACCTCCGAATGTTATAAGGACCTCGTGGACCCGCCTCCCAACTTACACTGTAATATAGCCATGTGACCTGTAGTGGACCCCCTGTACTTGTAATAAGGACCTGCATGGACCCTCCCGAACTTACATTGTAATATTGCCACGTCATCTGTAGTGGACCCTCCGAACTTACATTGTAAGACCTGTGTGGCCCCGCCCAAACTTACATTGTAATATAGATATGTCATATACCCTCCACAAAGTGTAATATATTTCAAGTCATTATGCAAGATCTGAATGTTTATTTTTTCTTGTCATAATTATGATGAGTCAATAAAAAACTATTGCTTATATCGCGTGTTTGGGTTATCATTCATTTTATTACATGTATATTTCATATTTTCGTACATAGACATTGATATTACAAAACTCTGTGTGTGTGTGCTTGCGTTCGTGTGTGCGTGTGTGCGTGCGTGTGCCTCTGTGGGCTAACTATATAAACCAGTCTTCCAAAACTATGACAATAATCCACCCTGGACCAGACAATCCAGTGATAATGGGCAACAATCCTCGCCCTCAGGATACGATGACAGGCATTCAACCAAGTGAGTGAGCCGTCATATAGATGGAATATTGCTGAGTGCGGCATTAAGCAACAAAAAAACAAACCGAGTCAGTGAACCTGACCACCCGATCCATTTTGTGGCCTCTCGCGTCTAAGCACAGGCTGCTTGGGACTTTTCTGACCCGGAGTCTCCGCGTGTGTGTAATCGCACCTGTGGGTATTCTGGGTCTGCATTGACTGACATGGGGATCGGGTGGGTACAATGGCGGGTCAATATGGCGCGTGCTGTACCATTTGAAAAGAACGCTTCGACCGTTTATTCTTTCTGTTTTGCATCATTGTCATTCCGGTGGGGATTCCGGGTGCGATATTGGTCCCCAGCAACCCACGCTTGTTGAAAGGGTTGACTAAACTAAAGGGTTGACTAAACTAAAGGGTTGATCAGGCTTGATGACGGTTGATGTGTGTCATCGCATCCCTCATTGCGTGAATCGATGCTCATGATGTCAGTCACTGGATTGTCTGTGCCAGACTCGATTATTTACAGCCAGCCAGGTGGAAAATTGCTTTTTGCGGCGTTAAACAAACAAACAAACACAACAAACAAACAAACAAACAATAATAAATAAATAAATAAACGCACAGGCCACTCGTTTTCCTCGTCCAATTTCGATCATACTTTCAAGCATATATATAAAAAGAAACGGCATTCGAACAACTATTCCCTTGGAATATCACAAACATTGGTATTAGATTAGCGGTTTCGGTTGCTGAATTTCAATAAGGGTTCGGGGTCACGGGTGGCCCAGTCGGCTAAGGCGACGCAATTCGATGTGCAGAGTTGCGTCCGCTGTGCGCGCCAGAAATCTATGATCGTGGGTTCCAATCCCGTTTCGCCCTCATCATGTTTCTAGGTTTGTCAGCACCATACCCGTGCTCGTGGATTCCACCAGGGGGTAAACGTCTGAGACCTGCATTACTTTGGGCTTCCCTCCCACATCATGCTGACACACCGTGATATAACTGGAATACTGTTAAAAGCGGCGTTAAACCAAACTCACTCACTCACTCGCTCATTTAGAGTTTAATACACTGTGTACAAACACGAACGTGTTCAGTCAAAAAACCAATACAGCATACGAGCTTTTAACATAGCCACATGATTTAAAAAATGACGTCAATATGTTTCTGCATTTTTGGAGGTGTAAACGTGAAATCTGGTGTGCATGCTGTGTAAATTCGATCTAAGCAAAGTGCACTCCGGCAGCCAGAGAATGGTGTAAATAATCATCGAGTCTGGAACAGACAGTCCACTGATTGACATCATGAGCATCAATCTAAGCAACTGAGATACGACCATGTGCGTTAACCAAGAAAGCGAGCCTGACCACCCGCCTCTAACGACAAGCATGGGTTGCTAATGACCTATTCTACACACGGATCGTCGCGGCTCTTTGCTTAAAAGTGTCACCTGTTTTGTCATGTGGACGAATCCTAGGTTCGAATCCCGACGCAATAGACGTACGTGGTTAATTGGTATACAGGATGTTTTCGCGATCTTCATGCAACACACATCACCATGCAGAGTGAGTAAGTGAGTGTGCGTGTGTGCGTGCGTGCGTGCGTGTATGTGCGTGCGTGCGTGTGTGTGTGTGTCTCTTTGAGGGGATGGATGGTTGGTCGGGCGTCGGATGGTTGATTGTAGAATGTTTGATTGGGTGGGTGAGTTTGGGGTAAGTGAGGGTCTACAGGGAAATTATATTATTTCATTAAAAACGTAACACCTTGAAACGTAAATTCTCCCTACCTAACACACGGGGACGGTTCACCACACCTTGTATTTGCGACTAAAAAAGTAGTTTCGAGTTTGCAAAATCTTAAAAATATATAAACAAAAAGTAACAAAAATTATTTGAGGGTACGAAAATTCTGTATCATACATATAGATATGAATATAATCAAAATCAAATTTAACAAAAAATATTCTTGAAAACTTCATGACCGCTGTTGGAAGCGAAAGAATACACGGTGGTCAAGTTACAAAAATGGCGCTTTGCGAAACGACCGGTCTCGATTGACGAGTTAAGTGAGAAATTTACAGTTTATAACGAAACATTTTCGAGAGAATAAAAACGCCATGAAGCGATAAGAACTCAACAAATGACCATCATGTCCTAATTTTGCCTTGTCAATGTGGAACAAACAAACAAAAGTAAGTGAACAATTTGTGAACGGGCCAGACACTTACGATAAAGGGAGACAATTTTAGGGGAGGCCACTCTTGTATGACAATAGTTCCGTCAAATTGTTATTTTCACAGCTGTGAAATATCAATTGTTTTAATCACTGCAATGAAAATATTACTTTTCCCAACTTCGGAAAACTCAGTCTTTTACACTCAAGTATATAAGAAATTGGACGACGTTAATATTTGAGAGGAGGTGTCTGGTGAATTGTTCCCCATAGATGTAGCTGGGCAACGCAGATGAACGCGATGGCCGACCGAACGATCGCATCCAGAAGCGGGAGAGATATGACAATCGGTATTGGGCTTTGGCATATGCAGGGAATACCAACCTGTGCATAAAACGGACATGTCCGACATTGCCGAGGTTGGATTCTATTGAGAGAGTCATCATTATTAAAACACCGGTAAATATTGTCAAAGCTTGTACAGTTCATCCTCAGCCGCAAAGAGGCTGTACATAATGTTGATATCTCATATAAGAAATATACGACTCGTGGTCGTTGTTTACCGTATAATAAAACACTACAGGGAGAATAAACCACTCGGGACTGTGCCCCTCATGCAGCGTTTTATTGTACGATAAAAAAACTTCCACTCGTGGTTTATTTCTTAAATACTATATATACACACAAAAAAACATTCTACGACATGCTAGCATTTATAAATGTAACTTTGCTTCACCCTTCCTAGACACTTCATATCGGATTCACATTGTGTTCCAATATTTCCAAGCGAAATGGAAGCGGTAAATTGATTGGAATGGTCAGTGGCTAGTTTGGTGATATTTTAAGTCCGCTTCAAAGGGCCAGAAAATTTATTCATCCGAACTACCTAGAGTAGCGTCCCTTCCATCAGCGCTGGTTCCTCAATCTGCACTCCATTCATTAGCATTTCACGTTGTTTTTAATTTTTTTCCAAATGACCTCACTGTTTGTCTGAGCCTCCACATCTCTCCACATTTTTCATCGTATACTCTACTGAAACAGTTTTTTTGGTGATTATCATACAATATCTTAGCGTTCATGTAAGTCATGTGACCCGTGAAGATCCGGGGTAGAATAGGTTTTCAGCAACCCATGCTTGCCGTAAAAGGCGACTATGCTTGTCGTAAGAGGCTCGCTGACTTGGTTGATGCATGTCATCGTATCCCAATTGCGTGGATCGATGCTCATGATATCAATCACTGGCTTGTCTGGTCCAGACTCGATTATTTACAGAGTGCGGCGTTAAACAACAAACCAACCAACCAACCAGACTCGAATATTTACAGACCGCCGTCATATAGCTGTAATATTGCTGAGTGCGGCGTTAAACAGCAAACAAACAAACAAACAATGTAAGTTGTGTGCATGTCAATGTTGCACGATCTCCCCTAGCTGGTAATGTTTCCGTCTTCATGGGGTAGGATAGGGGTTAAAGCGTTGGCTCGCCAAGCCGAAGTTGTAGCTTCGATTCTTCACATGGGTGAAAGTCCTTTTTCAACTGCCCCGCCGTGATACAGCTTGACTTATTCTAAAAGAGGCATAAAACGATATTCACTCACCAACATACAAAATCACTTTTGTGAATTTTCATCTTTTTTTCAAGAGAATGAGGATGGTAGGGTAGCCTTGTGGTTAAAGCGTTCGCCCGTCACCCCAATGGCTCAGGTTCGACTCCACACATAGGTACAATGTGTGAAGCCTATTTCTGGTATCCTCCGCTGTGATATTGCTGGGAAATTACAAAAGCGGCGTAAAACAATACTCACTGACTCGCCACAGACAATTACCAGCTCGATTGGATTCGATGATTTTGTTTTGCGAACCAGGCTGGTCCGACCATGTATTGTCCACCAACCCTCCAGCTTTCCTCGTACTGTCGACATTGTTGAGAGTCACCTTTGTTGGCTGGTGGTCTTGACCTATGTCATAGCACTAGCCGAGTGACACTGGTCGGACCAGTTATTGAATTATTCCTAACAACCGACATATGCCTGGCGTATTGCTTGTGTCCAAGAGGTAACTATCATGTACATAGAGAATATTGATATGCACTGCTGTTGCCAATAACCTCCGCATGAGCCAATCAGTGCATGGTTAGATTGTGTTCTTCTTGTCTTCACTGAACAGTACAGACGAGTAGTTGATTTGAGAGACGTAACTCTGAAATGGCACCACTTGCATGTCAACTCTAGGTCCGGACATGTCATGACAGCCCGAGCATGTCACACCTGTATCTAGACATGTCATGACGCCCCAAACATGTCAACTTTGTACCTGGACATGTCATGACATCCCACACATGTCAACCCTGTATCTAAACATGTCATGACATACCAATCATGTCAACCCTGTATCTGAACATGTCATGACATACCAAGCATGTCAACTCTGTATCTTAACATGTCATAACATACCAAGCATGTCAACTCTGTATCTAAACATGTCATGACACACCAAGCATGTCAACTCTGTATCTAAACATGTCATGACATACCAAACATGTCAACTCTATATCTGAACATGTCATGACATACCAAGCATGTCAACTCTATAT